TGGGCCATCTCTCCAGCCTGCACGTGCATTTTAAGCTGTCAAAGATATACATTTTAGTTTAGAGACATTTAAACTTGCAGACACTGTGCTCTTTCAAATAAGTCCTTCCAAATCTTTGCTTACATAAGCAGTTAGGAACTGAAATAACTCTGAACTAGTTACACAATGTTGTCTGGTAACCAGGATGTACTGTTGCCACAACACCCGTGGAAATATTCTGTCTGCGAGTCTACTCTCCCTGTGTCCACATATGTGCCAATACGACATTGTTTGGTAGGTAGTATGTACCATATGGTCCATGAAAGTGGGCAACCTTTCTCTTCACTCCAATAGGCTGAGGTCAAAATCTTGGCAAAAGAGAAGCCAATACACTTTGCTGAGAAATGTGACTCTAAATGACATGGAACAGTGACTTCCCAAAGTCACAGAGACAGCAGAGAATCTCCTTTCCCCGATTCTAGGGCCCAAGACAAGAAAACCACAATTATTTTTCCTCTTCATGGCTCTTTGTCAAGATGAGGCTGAGTCAGAAGATATTCCCAGCTGCCCTGAGACTATTCAGGGCTACACCTCACTGTCCCCTAGGAGAGGAGATAGGGAATCCCACAGCTGACATTCAATCTGTCAGGAAATCCTCTTGGCTCAACCTTCAAAATGTCTTCAGAGCCCTGCCGTCCATCACCACCTCCCCGGAGCCTGTCTGTGTCAAGACACCACTGCCTGAGGTGGCTTCCTTACTTTTCTAGTTACTGCCCCGTTCCCACTGCCCCTGCAGGACTTACTTCCCCAGATGGCACCTGCCATGAGACTGACACACTCTCTCTCTCTTCCTCTCTCTCCCTCTCTCTCTCCAGGGTTTCTCTGTGTAACAGTCCTGGTTGTCCTGGACTTCGCTCCGTAGCCCAGGCTGGCCTCGAACTCACAGAGATCTGCCTGCCTTGCCTCCCAAGAGCTGGGACTAAAGGCGTGCGCCACCACACCTGGCGTAGCAGGTGTCTTGACCACACTCCTGCAGCCTTTTGCTACCGTCCAAAGCCTTCTGTGTTTTTCTTCACTTTTGTGGTTTTTTTTTTTTTTTATCCACTATTCTAAAAACTTTATCTGTTTAGTCTGAGACTTGCCTGTTTGCCTGTTTCCCTGACTAGGATTTAAATGGAGCTTTTTCTGGACAGGCTTTAATTGACTGTTTTCTTCTCGTTTCTTTCAAACCAAGAATGGGGAGCAATACGGAACAATAGCTCCTTGATAAATATTTACTGAGGGACATGGATGTATATGAGTGGGCATCCTTCCAGGATTTGGTCCCATCTGCCATCTGTCGGGTAAGGCAATGTGAAGGACCCAAACTAGCCAGGTGTAGAGGGAAAGGGCCGAGCGAGGCAAGGTGGTCGGTCACAAGTTTAAGGTCACCCAGAACTACAAAGCCACACCTCAGGAAAGGAGGAAAGGAAGTGTGGGGTGTGTGTGTGTGTCTGTGTGTGTGTGTGTGTGTGTGTGTGTGTGTGATGAGTAAAGGAGAAAAAGATATCTAGAAGTAGATTACTGTGCATTTTATTATCATGGTACACATCTTCAAACACTTTAAAGGAATATACTAAACTTTGCTTTGCTTACCTGAAATATTCTAGTTTAAAAAAAAAAATCCTACCCATCTCTGCTCAGGCTAAGGGCTGATTTCTCCCGGAAAAGTCCTCTATTATCGTCTCCAGGGGACTAAGAACCTCTTCTGGAACACCACCCTTACCAACCTGTCCCTGACATGAAGAACCCTGAAGCTGACATCCGTTCCCTCCGCCATGACCTTGTTCTCATCAGCCGAGGGCGAGTGCTACTGCACTACCTCAAGGTAGCACCTTGCAAATGCTTCTCTAGGCAGCCTGTCTTTATTATAAATAACTAATGTGACCTGCAATGCCGTCCCTAGCTCTAAAGAAAGGCATACGCGCCGGGAAGTGGTGGCGCACGCCTTTAATCCCAGCACTCGGGAGGCAGAGGCAGGCGGATCTCTGTGAGTTCGAGGCCAGCCTGGGCTACAGAATGAGTTCCAGGAAAGGCTCCAAAGCTGCACAGAGAAACCCTGTAGGCATACGCATTACATTTAAGCACACATCATGGCCGGGATAAAGGTAAAGACATTTCTCAGCTCTTTGAGGAGAAGCCTGTGTTTGGATTCTTGTTCTTCAGAAGAACAACTGTAAGAGCGCTAACTGCATTTTGTTCATCTACCTGTAGGACAAGTAATAAAGCTAATACGTTAACACTTCAGGCTGTAATTTGCCTGAGCCCCAGGAAGCGCACATCCAGCCTCCCCTCTGCCCGGGATGACTGGCTCTCACCACCACGCCCAGCTTATGCACGGGGTTGGGAATACAGACCTCCTGCTTACGTGGCCTGCACTATACAGACAGTGCCCTCTCTTCAGTCCCAACAAACACCTTCAATTTTAATTCTATTTGACGAGAGTGGTGAAGAGGATCTGGGACAACCTGTGTAGCCACATCACAGGTGGCTAATGCTAAATGCCTAAGGACAATCTTTTTTTCTTTTTTCTTTCTTTTTTTTTTTTTTTCCGAGACAGGGTTTCCCTGTGTAGTTTTGGTGCCTGTCTGAAACTCGATCTTTAGAGCAGGCTGGCCTTGAACTCAGAGATCCACCTGCCTCTGCCTCCAGAGTGCCTCACCGCCGCCAAGCCTTTTTTTTTTTTCTTAGTACAGTCTGTTCCCAGGTTAGGGATGGAATCATGAGTCCAAACATGCTAGCCAAATCTCAACTCCTGAGCCACATCCCAGCCACCCCTAATTCAACGTTTGATGTCAGAATTTTGGTCTGGGTTTATGAAAATACTAAGATTCAAACCAGAATCCTGAAGAAAAGATTCTTTAAAAAGCCAGAAAACTATATAATAAGCGACTTGATATAATCAAAATAAAGATTAAGGCATTTGAGGAGATCAACATTTTAAAACCAGGCCTATGTGATATCCAGGACCAATCTTTTGCAGAGAAACATTTTTTTTTTTTGGTATAATCAAGCTTTTGAGATCTCTCAGCGTATTTTGATCCCCCAAATATTATATAAAAATTTCTGCCAGGCATTAGAGACAGAAATGTAAACCACAGAGATACCGCATGCCTTAATTTCTTCTCTATTGGAGGACAGCTAAGTCTCACGTTAGTGTGCTTTCCATGTGCTAGGCACGTTCCTGCCGACACATCTCCAGCCCTTGTCTTCAGGCATAGAGTCTTACTATATAACTCAAGTGGTCGGAAACTCAAAAGCCTCCTGCCTCTGACTCCCAAATTCTAAGATTAGAGACAAGTGCCATAGGGTTTGGCATCAGGACTTTTAAAAATGAATTCTCGGCCGGGTGGTGGTGGCATGTGCCTTTAATCCCAGCACCCGGGAGGCAGAGCCAGGCGGATCTTTGTGAGTTTGAGGCCAGCCTGGTCTACAGAACAAGATCCAGGAAAGGCGCAAAATTCTCTGAAATGTTTCTTGTAAAGTGAAGTCACTGATGTTAGACTGGTTTTGTTTAAAAAAAAAAAAAAAAAAAAAAGGCAGTGTTTCACATAATCCAGGCTAATGTTTCCTTCTTGTGGATAATGTAATAGTCAATCTTATTTGTGTTTTATAATAACGGTCAACCTTGTCATGTCTGTTACCCAGAACTCCTTTTCAAAGTCTCATCGATGCCTTGTAAACTAGTTGCCTCTGGTACCTCCGGGGTTACCTCCAAGGGACAGACATCCTTTGCCCTAGCTGGTAACAGGCCCATCCTTCACAGCAAACTCTTGAGACTGCTGAGAGATCTCAAGCCAGGAGTCTTTGCAAAGGTTAAAGGTTACTGGCAGGAAGCCCTGTGTCTCAATAAGTAGAACAAAAATTTTTAACGATCTGAGATAGTTTCTAGGTCAGGAACACTAAATTTTAGTCTGCCGGACATGTCACAAGGAGGGAGTCCATGTCACAACCTACCTATCAACAGGACAAAACACTCAACTCACTGGAATGTATAAGGTCAATGGCGTATGCTGTGACAAATTCATTGAAGACTTTCTATAGGGAGAGTACAGTGGCAAATTTTAGGTAGCTAGTTAGTGCTTAATTTGACAAGCCATTCATTCATGCAGAAATGTGATGTCCATGAGCGCTTTGAGTGCACAGACCAGCTTCACCAGCTGAGTCTGGCTTTCCCTCTGGCAAGGAGCTCCTTGTTGCCACCATGTGGTGCTTTTCACCACAATGTCCCATGGGAAGAATGTCCTCTGCTGAGCATTAATGCTGAGAGGCCTTCAGATCTGGAGTACTTCCTGGTACAGGCAGAACTCCGCTGCAGTCGATACAATTCTGGGCATCTACTCTTATGTCAGGCCGTGTTTCTTTAAAATTTCACCTACGATATGGATCTAAACGGACAGCTTAGCAGTAGTGCTGTCCAGGACGACATGCTCTCACTTCCTGTTCCCATAGCAAGGCTGGCGCAATGAGCAGGGGGACCCTGTGGTTTGTGTACAAGGACGAGCAGATGCAGAAGGTAAAAGGCTCAGGTTCTGATTCCGAAGCCTTCAGACACCCAGTATGCAGAATATCAGATAATTCTTATAAACAAAATTGCAAGCATTAGGGAGACCTTTCTGGATAATCCATCAAGAGTAACAAAAACAAAGGGAAGGAACTGACGTCCTTAGAGTTTCGGAAGGCAAGCGTCTCCAAAAGACGACAAAGCAGGTGGTCTGCACCATGACAACCGTGTAATATCCAGGGGCAGGAGCTGGAGGGTGAGTTAGACCAAGTTTAGGGGCCTCAAAGGAAAAGATGTTCGGAAACGGTCGCTGCTCCCTCTGGTGGCTGTTTAGAAACTTAAAAATGACTTGTGCCAAGCCTGGCTAGGCTGAAATGTTAGGTTACTCAGCCCACGTTTTATCCCCGCCTCACACACTTTTTAAGGAAATAGGCTGTGGTAACTAATTGAACACTGCTTAAGTTAAAGAAGAACTTACTGTGGTAGAATCAAAAGAAAGGACGTCCACGACAGGGGGAGAACAACTCTGCAAATCCATCACCTCCAGTTTGGGATTAATCTGTGTGCATACACAAAGTAAGTTAATGTAACATCTTCTATCGTAAGAAGCCAAACACTATTGGTAAAAAAAAAAAAAAAACAAACCAACTAGTATTCTTAATGTAGTCTAGAAATAAAGCATATATTCACTGAAAAGCACACAAATATTGGCAAAATATGAATTCACTAAATCTACTAATGTACATGATATTGACTATGTTGAACATAAGCCAGAAATAGTTATTTTCACACTATAAAAGCAATATAATTTACTTACATAGGAATATTAAAGTAGAAAGACCAACCTCAAGAGATGCAGAAAAAAATCCTAGCCAGTACATTAAAATGAGAAAAAGAAATAAAATGTTAAGATGTAAGAATCAGAGAAAGGAATAAACTTTCATTCAAAAATGGTCGATTACCTCTGGAGAAATAATCAATCTACTGCTGAGTCCTCAGCCCCACTAAGAGACCTGAAGGGCACTGCTAGCCCCAACCAGCACACAAACCCAAATGGATTTCAACAAGAAGTTAAAATATGGACTCATCAAATACTATAAAACTGAAGAGAACATCAAATACTATAAAACTGAAGAGAATTCACCGGGAATTCACGGGAAAGCCCGATACTTCTGTTGACATTGAAGAAGTCTCAAGTAAACAGAAAGTGTACTAGACCGTTCAGGAGCAAGGTGCATTCCAGATGGGAGATAACCACAGCGAGACACAATGGCTACCTTCGTTAACGGACAAGGGGACCGACAGGTCTCAAGACTGACTGGGTACATGGATCCCTGCTAGGAAGGGTAGGCAGGGGTTAAGTAAGTAGAACCCAAATGTGATGTTCAAACTGTAGAACAAGTCAGGTCAGAATAAACAAGTAAGATCTGGGCGCGGAGGGGGGGGGGGGCTGGCACGACACACATGTCTGTGATCACACCTGATGTGGAGATCATAATGAATATAAAGTCTATGGAAAAAACCTCCAGGAGTGAAAACCTGAGGGCTAATGAGCATCTGAAGAGGGGCTGAGCAGCATTATTCTTGAGAAAAGTGAAAATGGAAATAACACCACTGGAAGAACTAGAGTGCTCAGTATGCCAGCGCGGACTGTGAATGCCTATAATGCAGTCACTACAATACACACCGCAGTGAAATATGAGCAGAACACATACAAATGTGTCAGTTCGTGTTATAGACACATCTCAAGGTTTTTATATGAAATAAGAAGACAAGTTACGGAAAATATACTCAATTCAATCCAACTTATCCAAAAGTTCCTGACTATTCAAAGCGAAACAATATTTAAGTATAGGTTTGAAAATATGTATGTATTAAAATTACAGAGAAAGGGGGATGATTTTCTGGATTGATGACTACCTCTGAGGGAAGTTGTTTCTAAATTCAAAGGCCCCCAAATGTGCCAAATAAAACCCAGTCACCCTCAATACCAAGACGAGAAGCAAGGACAATAAAGATGGCAGGACTTTATAGCAAACAATGGTACCAGCACTCTGTGCACTTAGGGGGCCAGAAGAAAACGCCAGCTGACTGCTCAGTGACAGAGGACACTTAGGAAGGAGATACAGCTCAGCAAAATCCTCCACACAAAAAATAAAAACAAACCCAACTTTAGAAAACAAGTCAGAGAGGCAGGGTGAGATAAAGAGTCTCCGGGTACAGTGGCAGAGTGTGGGCATGGTACAGATGAGCAAAGAGTCTCCTGGTACAGTGGCAGAGTGCGAACATGGTACAGATGAGCCAAAGCACAGGGACAGGAAAAAGACGGAGACTGAAGGCTGACAGAGGCCAAATTACAAAGAGTGAAGAAATCAGCGAAGACCATGAGGCTGGGGTCTAAAGTGCTTTCGAGAGACCCATCTGGGAGAGACAGACATCAGACACGACTCCTACCTGCAGGCTGAGGTCCTGGCAAGGAAGAGCAGGATTCATTTTAAAATACTCAGGCTTGGTGGGCACAGCTGTAGTTGTAATGATTACATTTTATTTTTATGTGTGTGCGCACGCGCGAGCGCATGCACACCTCCACACGTGACTGCACCACGGGACGTGTGTAAGAGGCTTAAAGAGAACTTGTGAGGTTGGTTCTTCGCTTCCACCATGCGGATCCCAGAGACTGGACTCGGGTTGTCCGGCTGGGCGGCGAGTTCTTTTACCTGCTGGGCCAGCTTGCTGGCCTGGTTTTGTTCTGGGGACTGATCTCTCCACGGCTAAGCACCACAAGCTGGTCTCAAACTCCCGTGCCTCCCGAGTGTTGTTATATGTGTCTATAATCAGTCCTCTAGCTGTGCTTTTAGGAATGTTAAATTCATCTTGTAATTATCCAGCCCCCTGTGTTAGAGCGGAGGGGCGCAGGGGTGGGGGTGGGGTGGCGGCGGCGGCGGCGGCGCTCGCCTTTAATCCCAGCACTCGGGAGGCAGAGCCAGGCGGATCTCTGTGAGTTCGAGGCCAGCCTGGGCTACAGAGTGAGTTCCAGGATAGGCTCCAAAACTACACAGAGAAACCCTGTTTCGAAAAACAAAACAAACAAACAAACAATAGAGCGGAGGGGACACAAGGGGAAGACACAGAACAGCAGGGAGATACTTGAGTGTGGGAAGGGTGGAGGAAGCCTGGCTCAGTCGCCCAGCAGCTCTTCTTCCTTCCAGCTGTTGACAGCAGAAAACAAACTGCTGCTCACCCGTCTCGGGGAAGAGACACTGGGCTGACTTCATGCTCTTTAATCTTAGGCAAACCAGCCAGAGACATTTTACTCTTTTCTCTACTGCCACCTAGTGGCCACATAAAAAATGGTCAACATTCGTTCCCTGCTCAGAAAGAAAATGCTAAGAAAGTTACAAGGACAGAGGAGGCACCTCCTGTTTAAAACAAAACAAAACAAAATCTTTGACTTTCTGTAAGTTTGGGATGTATGTAATTACAAGTGTTTTACTATATGTTAGCTAAAACTGCTGCTGCATAAAATCAAATCGCCTTGAAATGGGTGGGATTGAGAGGCTGGGTTCTCATCGGCTGAACAGCGGGGTACAACTGAGATGTACGAATGAGCAGAAGGTTGTGTAGAACCTTGAAGGTCCCTCCACACCCTGCTCTGAGGGTCTACACCGAGGAGTCCAAGAACATCAGCCCCTGTACTAACGCAGTCTGTAATGTTTCCCTAGACTAGACGTTCCTGACGGGCAAGGGAAGGGTCCCAAAGTGAGGACCCCCAGCAGTGTCTGCCGACAGCGCCAGATTTTACCTTTTATTAAACTGAAGTACCGCAGTAGATGTAAGATGCCCAATGAGCCATAGGGCCAGGGCTGCAACTCCAGCATGGTCAGCTAATACTCGCTCCAATTCTTATGTGGATAAATACATTACTGGCTTTCAGCATTTGTATTTGTAGTAATATGAAATAATTTATGTCAAGACACGGGAAAGTATTGCACAGGCATTAGGTATTCTTATTACTATTATTATCATGTAAGCGCCTCAGGATATTTACTGAGGTCAAAACAGCATAAACATGCTTTATATTGATCACGACAAAATTTTCAACAATGAATCATGGTCAGGTTATCAAAAAAATAATTAAATAAAAGGATGTGTCCTGTCCTGCTAAATAACATGTTGAGTTCCATATGCAATTTACAGATAGTGGTAATATTCAAGTGGCCACTTTGAAATTAAAAGCAATCAAGATAATTATTTTATTAATAATTTTGACTTAAGTACTGTGCCTTCTAACATTTTGCCATGCCTAAAATAACTATCTGGTTTCACATGGATCTATCCCTTCGAATGCTTCTGTTTTTTTCATTAAATATGCAGAAAGGGACAAGATTAGAAAGGACAGTGTTATGCAAATGTTATGCAAATCATGACCACCCTTTGAAAGCAAAGTTGTTTTGTTTTGTTCTTTTCCTGGAGCTGCACAATGCAGTTCTGTCTTGTGGCAGCTGGTGAGGATGAACTACTACTACTACACAGGCGGGTCTCTGTGAGTTCAAGGCCAGCTTGGGCTACAGAGTGAGTTCCAGGAAAGGTGCAAAGCTACACAGAGAAACCCTGTCTCAAAAAAACCAAACCAAACCAAACCAAACCAAACCAAGCTGGCAAGCTAATGGGCTTTGCAAAGGCCAAACAACTTCATGCAGAAGGTTAAGAAAACAGAATAAAAATATAAATCATAGGGCGCCAATACTGCTCCAAACTCAAAAATTAAACAATCTTGGCTACTACAAGAAGAGAAATTACTTCAATATTTTTTATTAAAAATAATTTTTTATTTTCTTTAAATTCTGAAAACTTAGAATATTTTCAGTTCTAAAGTATTTCTGAAGTAATGTAAGTGCACCTCCCTAAAACTTTGAAAGAAAATTTAACCCACAGAATCAAGTATTTTAAAACATAATTTATCGTAAATGAGCATAGTAATTTTCTCTGATCTACACTACATCTACATGACGTTTTAGTTTTAAATTAAACAATATTTTTCTTTCTGCGAAGGATCTATATTCATTAATTTGAAGACTTTCTTGATAACTGGGCATGGTGGTGCACATCTTTAATCCCAGCACTTGGGAGGCAGAGGCGGGCCTGGTCTACAAATGGAATTCCAGGATGGTTATGGCTATCAGTTCCACTGAGAAACCCTGTCTTGAAAAACCAAAAACCAAACCAAACCAATCAAACAAAAAACCTCAAAACCTTGATACCCAGTTATTATTTTTTTTATAACACTGAAAATACGCTTTCTACAAAAAAGCATTATATTTTGCTTTATTGTGAGCTTATTTTAAAAATGAGATGATTGGCTGTTTATCTGCAGAATTCTTTTACTTCTCTGGCACAGCATTGGAAAGAGTTTTACAAAAGTCAGTCATACTAGACGGTTAACTCAAATAGCTGATACCTGGAGGTGATTTAAACTGGGTACCTAGGGCCACCTTCCTCCGGGCCACACAAAATGTTCAGGCACATTCTCTGCATTCTGTGCCGTGTCACTGGCCTCCA